CACCAGAATCTTAAGCCCTTGTCTCTTTGTTCTGTCACTTCCCACCACTGAGAACAGCCGAGCTCCATCCTCTTTGGAACCCCCCTTCAGGTAGTTGAAGGCTGCTATCAAATCCCCCCTCATTCTTCTCTTCTGGAGACTAAACAATCCCAGTTCCCTCAGCCTCTCCTCATAAGTCATGTGCTCCAGACCCCTATCTATTGCTCCTGTCCTTCAGAGCCTAACCCTGCAAGGTATTAAATGCCTCTGGGCCTTTTGAGTGCCCTCAAATCCCATTGAACTCAAGAAACTGTGAAGGTGTGACGCTGAGATGAGGGCATATCAGGAGTTACCCAGGAGATACTTAACAGCTCACAGCTTCTGCCTTCAAGAAAAGAGATTCTAAGATGCCAGAAGTGATCACCATTAGTATTAATCCTTGATGTAGTAGCTTTTCCTCCAATGTATAAAATGCCCATACTGGATCCTCTGGGGACCATAACTATAACACATATACTATTTGCAAACATATACAACTACACACATATGGTACACACAACTATATGTATGTACATTAATTGAAAATAAATCTACTCGTGCTATAAAATTACTCATATTAGCACATTGCAAGAGGAAATCCTGGCACCTGAAGGGATTGCATTTTTTGGCAGGGGAGGGTGTTTTAATTTCTTTTGGTCTGTACAGGGATTTCTCTTCCCCACCCTCTGCCAGTCTTTCTTTTTCATATAGGAGAGAATTTAGAATATGGAAGGGAAGGTTTCATTTCTGAGTTTCTTTTATCCCTAATCCATAAACAGTACTAATTAGATTGGTAACCAAAATACCTTAAAATAGAGTCCCCATCCTCAAATTACCTCCTGCTAGGCTACACAAGCCTAGTTAATTTAACTCTTTGTACACACTTAGCTTCCCACCTAACAAAGCTGGTGAAAAGGAGTGCTGTATGTCAAGTCTGTTTCATTCTCATGCTGCTGTGAGCAGTAGCATTTCCTTTTAAAGACTAGAACAGGGAATTATTCAAATACAGCTTTGAGAGTCAAAGAGAAAGGAGAGCTACCCGTGTCCAATTTAAAGCCCTGTTCAGGTTGCCCAAGTTAAGACTGATGGTTCTTAAAACTTCAGTAGTTTCTTCCCAACTTGTTTAATTTAAGGAAGTTTCTTAGGTTGGGATTCATGCAGTCTGCATTGACACCAGATTTAAAATATTTTGTCCCGTGCAAGGGCGTCAACTTAGCAATTATCCAATGAAATCTCCATGTATGCAAGCAATTTTTAATACAAAATCTCTTCATATTTTTAGGGAGGAAGTGGTGAAACTAAATAAAGAATCAAAACATACAGTGGCTTATTCTGGAAGAGTGAAGACCATCTGTCTACAAAAAGATTCTGCCCTCTGGATAGGAACAGGGGGAGGATATATCCTGCTGCTTGATTTAACAACACGTCGTCCTATACGAATAATACACGATTTTTGTGACTCTGTTCGAGTCATGCTGACAGCGCAGCTAGGTAAATATTCAAAAGAAACAATCTTTCATTATAGAATTATTGACAATTCCTGTTTGACATGACATTTCGTGAACTAATTAGAATATTCATTTTTTTCATTCACTCTATTCTATTTGCATGTTTTATCTAACCAATCTAAATCCTTATGTCAGTAAATACCAAAGAACGTGCTACTGGTGCTAGATGGGACAGCAGTGGCTCCCGCACTTTTTCTAGGAAAGCTCCACTTGTGACCAGTCGCATCTCGCTCACGCCCCTTTTGTGCCATGCCCCCACATCCTTCTGTCCATTTTATTTCTCCTGTTCTGTCTGCCTGTTTTCTCTTTCTTCATTCTCTTTTTTCTTCATACATAATCATTCTTTTTTGCTTATTTGATTTGTGGCACCCACTCTCAGTTCTCACTCAGCAGAACTCTAATTGGTGCCTCCATAGGGCAGAGTTACACGTGCAGCTTGCAATTCAGCTGTGTGAAGTAGGAGCAGAGAATAGAAACTTGGGTTAGGGGGCTGCTGTCAGAGCCTACAGCTTTGTATGTATGAGCCAGTCTTGTCGCCATGGCCACCTCTATGAGCCACTGTGGAAGCAGGGACTGAAGGTGGGTGGTTTTAAAGGAGTTACTTCTGCTTTACACGTAGCCACAAGAGCACATGTGCAGAGGGGTCAGATTTGGGGTATGGTAATTTTCTCCATCCCCACTGTTCTTCTGTGTCGCCCAGACTAATCTAGACATCCCCAGGTTACAATACATTATAGTGCAGGGATGGAAAACTTAGGTATATGTATTATAATAAAATACTCTGGGATATTGCACATGGACTACATTCACCTTCTAAGAAACACCCCTGAGCTGTATCTCCAGTGTCAGCATGGAATAAAGCATGCCCATAGTAGGAAAAGTGACTCTAAAGCTAACATTGTGGAGTTCCCACACTTATTATATTCCTGTTCGTTAATTCCATACTTTAAAGCTCTGATATCTTCTCATTGGCATCACTGTAAACTTAACCTGGGATCTGAAAATCCAATCTGTTTTCTTTCTGCATCACTGACTCTATTAAATATACTCTACAATCAGACTTAGCTGGTGATGATGATGATTCATACGGCAGAATAAATTTCAGTTCACTCTGACTAACCCTTCAAAATGTATTGGCTCTGCAGTGCTTCAAGCAATAAAAAAAGTTTATTTTCATAAAGGAAGCAGAGAGCACATAGGTTGACTGAGAAGAAGGTGTTTTTCCATTGTTGCTTTTTTAACTATGGCCCCAATCCTATAAATACAATGGCTTCCATGAACCCCTGACCCTGTCCAGAGACACATGGCGTCCATTTGCAAAATCAGGGCCTATAACAGCAGTTGTATAGAGTACTTAGGTCTCTAGATGACAGAGTGCCAGCTAAATATTAATTATTAGAAAGTCAGTATTAGATATTTCTCTTCACTATAGTCCTTATAGTTACAACTTAAGCCCCTTGTTACATTGTAAATAATAATTATGGCTAAAATTTTGTATATTTTTAGTAAAAGTCACGGACAGATCACAGGTAATAAAGAAAAATTCACGGAAGACCATAACCTATCCCTGACTTTTACTAAAAATATGCATTACAAAATGAGGAACTGCAGAGGCCTGGCTGGGAGCTGCAGGGTCCCCCCATCACCCCAGCTCCAAGCTCAGGTAACCCCCTGCCAGCTGCAGTGGCTTGGAGCTCAGCACACCCCCATAACCTGTGGTGGCTCGGAGCTCTGGGGCACCCCGACTGCCCACGGCAGCTCCTGAGCACCCTGGCTGCCCGTGGTGGCTCTGTGCTCTGGGGCACCCGCGGCAACTGGGAGGGCAACAGGAAGGGCACCCCCGCCACACATGGCGGCTGAGAGTTCCCCGGAGTCCCGCTGCCTGCAGTAGCCAGGAACTCAGGGTCTCCCTGCTGCCTGGGAACTCCAGGCACCTGAGCCCCACCGCCCCAGCTCGGAGCTGCGGGGCAGCCCTGCTTCCCGCCGCGGCTGGGAACTCGGGCCCCTGCAGTTCCCAGCTGCTGGGGGTGGCGGGGGATCCTATAGCTCCAAGGTGCCAGGGGCCCAGAGGTCTCTGGAAGTCATGGATTCCATGACCTCCATGACAAAATCGTAGCCCTAATAATAATTCACTGCTATTTTATTTAATGGTGTCGAATTCTACAGTGATAGGATCCTAACGAGTACATTTACAATAATACTAGTTTGTTGATTTTTAAAACCTGGATTCTCAAATTCTTAGTTTTCAGGCACCTGAATCTCCAGAAAAATCAAATTCTGCATATGGAAAGATAATGGTTTAAAATAAAGAGCTTAATTTTGTGTGCTCCATGCAGTGTACTTAGTTTTGTAGATATAAGAAGTTAGGTTAAATTTTGTGTCTATTTTAACAATCAACTTTTTTAGTCAGTTTTTCCATGTATTTATTTAAGTGTTTTACCCCTGAATGCAAAGACTGTACAGTTCTGAAGAGAATTATAAGAAACAGTCCAAGCCTTACGAGTAACTCTTCAATAATAGAACATTGCTTGTATGAGATAAAAGGAACTAGGGAAAAAGTACTTCAGTATCAAATATAGTTTCAGTTTCAAGATTAAAATACATATTTCAATCAAATATAAATATTTCAGGAGAATAGAACTTACCCAAATATTGTGAAATTATTTCATTTTTCCATGTGACTGTTGTAAATAGGTTCCAGAAATCTACTAATAGATACAATAGGACAATTGGGTTGTTAGAGGATGTTCAGATATTCAGATTTACATCTGCAGTTCATTTTGCAAGCACAAATTTACATCTCCAGACAGGGAGGCGGGGCCTCAGTCCAACTGAAAACATGACCCTTAATACTTCAATCCCTCTCATGAGAATAGTTGAAACTGTTCATTATGGGAAAGAGTATAGGGAAGCTAAGACAGGGATAGTTCCAAGCTACAAGGTTCAGATCAAATTGAAATTTTCCCAAATCTAGGTATATTTTGATCTATTGTGCACATTATGGGCCATCTGTACTCCTGAGTGAAACGGGTGATGTTCTGTAACAGCAATGAACTAGCCTGGCTATCCAGCCCCTACAAAATGTTGCATACCAGAGGGGTAAGGAGCTCTTTGACACATACACAGATGTATTTTCCTATCATTTGCTCTGCCAGTGTGCTATAGACAAAGCAGGAAGACAGAGAGGGAGAGGAGCAAGCCTGTGAAGTGCAGGAGATCAGACTCTGTGGCAGATTAGCGGATTAACCACTGTGCCAATGGGGCCTGTGCCCAAGGACGCCAGAAAAATGTGTGCCCCATGCCCCAACCCTGCTCCCCTCACCTGCCCGGCGCTCCTGCCATGGAGCGAGGTCAGGACCAGGAGCTTGCCCTGCGGTTGCTCCGCCACCACGGCACTCCAGCCGGGGCTCAGGGCGTGGGGGCTTGCCCTGCTCCACACGCCCATCTCTCCCCCTGCACCAGACGGAGTGGGGTGGGGTGGGGTGCAGGTACGTGGGCTTGACCCACTCCACAGGAGCACTGGGGGTGGGGACTGCAGTTGGAAGGGGTGGGGAGGGCCCCCCCCCCACTTGCTCTGACCCAGGGGCCCCACAAATCCTAATCTGCCCCGGTCAGACTAGATGATCACGATGGTCCCTTCTGGCCTTAAAGTTTGAGTCTGAGCCTTCTGTATCACAATTAACTAGTTTTCTGCATTTTCCATTATGTAATAAGATTAACAGCATGTCACTTGGTAGAACATTTAGGGTATGTCTACATAGCAGTTGGGACATGTAACTCCCAGAGCCAGGTGACCTACACCTGCCAACTCTGCTTGAGCTACTGCCTAAAAATAGCAGTGTGGAGGTAGCGGCACAGGCTAGCCACCCGCGTACATGCCATGGGCAGGTGGGCAGGATTGTACTTGGGTGGCTAGCCCAAGTCTCTGCCCATGGTGCCGTGGCCACACAGCTATTTTTAGCTCATGTGTATGTCTGCCCACGCTGGGAATCATACCTGCCAGCAGCTGTGTAGACATCCTTAGTTTGCTCTGTTTGTACTATGAGTTTAATAAAAGTTCATATCCTTCCATGCTTCAACACTAAAAACTAAACATGGCATCGTCGCCAAAAATTCTCACTTCACTGCCATTTCGATTTTTTTTTTTTTAAACTTTTGGCAATCTGTAGTGTATTCACAAACAGCATCTTCTTTACAACCTGTTTACATTAACTGTATACACTGATAACCCAGAATTTCCTCTAATGGTTTTCTGTAACAAAAATGCATACTGTGCTTACCTAGAATCCTGAAATGGGAAATCTGTACAATCCAGAAGGGGACAGGCACACTGTTCCAGACGTCAGTCACCCATAGCAGGCAGAGCTAGCCCAGCATGAGGAGGGCACACTGTGTATTTTCATAGTGGGATAACTGCTGCTCTAGCAAGCGCTCCCTGTGAGACCCAAGAGGAATTTTGGCTGATTCAGGCAGAAGCCCTCCTGGGACTCCTGGCATGGCCCCTTAAACCTTCCACAATCCCAGCTTTGGTAATAAACCAAAATCTAGCCTTATATATGCTCCATAAGACACAGGGACGAAGCCTGTCCTCACACCCACATTCATAAAACTTTAACATATTTTCACGGCATTTTTTTCTTTACTCTACTCAGTGAGGCTGGATGGGTGCAAATGAAGGTAAATGATTTACAATATTTATGTAATTTGTCCTTGATCTTTGATAAATCCCTCATATTAAATGGGGGCGCGCACACACACACACTCTGCATTTTTTCATGTCACTTTGATTGGTAATGTTGAATTTTGATTTTTTCTAACAGTAAAATGTATAATATGCATTAGTTTACTGAAATCTGCTTTCTGTTCTTTCAATGGTGCATGTAATCTGCTGCTTCTGCTCTTAAATGACGTGAAATCCAAGTGCTAGTTAAAATTAAAATCTAACATTTTATTTTTGAAAAGGGAGCCTCAAGAACGTCATGCTGGTTTTGGGGTACTGCTATAAATGTAATGAAGACAACAAACATCAGAAAGGTATCTGGTAATTTATTTTACTAATCCATATTACTTACGTTGTAAAAAATACTGTACTCTTTTTTTTTTTTTTTAAGATGTCTGTTAGGAATTTGATTATATCATTTGATATATTTTCATTGCAGCTTTGTGGTGATTTATTGTTGTCTGTGTGTTTCTAGACTCCTGCCTGTAAAATATAACAATGGCATATTAATATAAAATTAAATGGGATATCAGGGATGGTTTGATTTGGATAAAATAAGAACCAGACAAACCTTTGCTCAAAATTCTAACTGAACCAGAACCTCTTTTAAGGGTCCCTGATTATAACTGTAATAAAATCCTTTGCCTCTTTACTGTATGTAACAATATCCAAAATTATACCTACAGTAATCAGAATTGAGACTAGGAAGCCTTGTCCCGCAAGTAGTCCTTTCATCCCCTTACTCCACTGAACCCAGTGAGACTGCTTCGATAAGACAGGACTTACTCCCTGCATAAGGGTTGCGGGACTGGGCTCACACCCAATATAATCTGAGCCATAGTAAATGTAGGGTTCAAATCTGTTTTCATTCTATTTTAATGATTTGGGCCTGATTCTCATTTACACTAAAGCTCATTTACATTTCCAGATCTATTATTTCTGACTGTAATTAAAAACAAAGCAGCAGAATCACACTTGTAATGCAGTAATTGTATCTGTGCAGTACTTTTCAATGTTTTTTAAAATTATTTTTACAGAGCTGCAGTCGTGTATGTCTGTGTGGGACATTAAGCTGCCCGATGAAGTACAAAACCTGAAAAAGCACATTGAAGTGAGACAGGAATTAGCAGAAAAAATGAGAAATTTTTCTGTGGATTAAGGAACCCTAGACAAGTGGAGAGTCACCTTGTTTCCCAGTTTCCCATTGGTTTAAACTTTTACTATATATTGCATTACTTTTTTGTTTAAGAAACAAAGGGAAGTGATGGTCGTCCCTCAAAATCATGAAATATCAGAAGAAATAAGGAATGTTTTTATTTATAATATTTTGATGTATAATATTTTGAAGGAGTCAAAACTATTCACTCAATCTGCTTTCAGCAACACTGGTATAACTCCAAAGTATCTTTATTGGTATATTTCTGATTTTGGTTACACCAGCATAAATCCAGAGTAACTCCAGAGGATTAGATTCTGCTCCTAGTTACATCCATCTATATGCAGAGTAACTTCATTAAGTTGACACTATAAATGAGAGCAACGTTTAGGCCTCACTAGATAGTCTGCTGCCTGCATAGGTGAACTTTACTGATGGTTTATGTTATTAGTTAAACTCATATTTAATCATTTTGATTATATGAAAGAAAACATTGTCCATTATCTGATGGATAGTACATCTAGTTACTGAAATGTATATAGCCTAATTTACAAAGCACAGGCTGAATAGGTCAGGCTTTTTTCTTTCCTGTGTACTTTAGAGTTTGGCAGTTTTCAGTCTGTTCATAAAAGGCTGTGCACTGCAACAGCAAAGACAAAATTCAGAATGAAGGTGTCTGTGAAGATAGCGCCTTTTTTGACTATGAGTGTATGCCTGGCACAGGGCAATGCAATCTCATTAATAGAAACACTATTGTTTCATAACACATTCACACATGTAATTCGACAACTCCCTTTGCATGGTCAAGAGAACGCAGGGTAAAATTCTAGTTCTGAATGTTGATGTAAATAGTACACAGAATGTGGTATGACATGGTGCTTCTCAGGTAGCTATAAAGTGCCTATGGAGTATTCACACAATAGAATTGTCCAGTTTGCTTATCTCAGTCTGGAAAAGAATGAAAACTATAGTATTCATATTTACCATGTGTGCAAAGTTTACCATCCAGCCTTGTTATGAGCCCTTATATTGATATTTTTATAGTACGTAGTGGAGCCTGCAGGCATCCAAGAATGGGCTACTTCTTGCCTTGTGTAACCCCACTGTGAGACTGCTCACACACACCTACCTTTATTCTGGAGATACCATTTTATTGCTCTATATCCATTAACCCAATTGTCTGACAGCATGACTCAGTGCCTTACTTCTGTCCTTCATACCACAGACACGTGTCTTGATCCCTAAGACCAAGAGCATCTTCACCATAACAAGCCTGCAATGGCAGGGAACAAAAAACCCAAAGCTGTGCAGCAGAGCAAGGTGTTGCCACCAAACAAGTCCCCCTTCCTCCAATCTTTTACAGTTATAAATAATTCCCAAAATAGGATAACAGAGAGCATAGAACCTTCTCAAAATGTATCAATGTTTGGCTATTTGGATTTTTTTCATATGTGCACTGTTTATAATGTGTTTGTGTTGTATTATGTGCTATGAATAATGCTATTTATATGGGATTTTATAATGCAAAAAATACATTATTTTTATCATAAAGAAATAAACTTAAATATCTAATGTTATTTCACATGCTGAAGTCAGTTTATAAATCATGTTGAAGTGTAAGCCTTGTATCTATTTATTAGAACACTATTTTGTGGATATACATTTTCACGGACAATTTTCCAATAGTATGCTTTATTTCTCACAGAATTTCTATATAGCTGGGGCCTGACCGCTTATGTGCAGGAGTCTATCAAATTCGCAGCCATGAAAATTGTGTCATGGACTGTGAAATCTGGTCTTTTTGTGTAACTTTTACCCTATAGTATAGGGTAAAAAGTACACAAAAGTACACAGCATTTCTCAGATCGGTGGTCCTGACTCAAAAGGGGGTCACAAGCCTATTATGGGGAGGGGTGTTCATGGTATTGCCATCATTACTTCTCCACTATTGAGGGCAGCTACGCTGCCTTCAGAGCTGGGTGCCTGGCCAGAGGCCGATGCTTTCCGGCCACCAACCTCATCAGCCTCCTGCAGAGGAGACAGGGGAAGGGCTAAATGGCCAGAGTATACAACTTGCCTGACAACAGACAGCCTTGACGCACCTCTCACCTGAAGCTGATGTGTTCAGTCAGGGTCCAGTTGAGCTTGACCAAACACCCAGCTGAAGAAAACCCGCAAACTGGGGCCCAAAGCCAAATGCCTGCAGAGTGCCCAGGAGATACTCGTGGTCCACCCTGTTCAACGCCGCCTTCTGGTCCAAGGACAGTAGGGCAAATGACCCATCCCTACACCCAAGCTCAAGGATGTCCCAGACAAGATAAAAATTATTAAAGATGGTACGCCCAGGACAGTGTAGGTCTGGTCGCGGTGGACCACATCCGCCAGCATGGACCCCAGTCACAGCAAGAGGGCCTTCGCTTGACCTTGTTGTCTATGCTGAGGAGCAAGACGGTCCCCCACCTTAGGCAGCAGAGCCAGCACTCCAATCACTTAAACAATTAAATCCCCCAGGATGGACCTGACTGCCTAAGTAACAGATTAGAATGGGTTGGGCAGGACTAAACAACTAATTAGCCCATTAGCACAGAGGGCATAAGAAGGCACAGGAAGGAAGTGCTGAGAGAGAGGGGAGGGGGGGGGCTAATGGAGCCAGAACCAAGAAGGATCTCTGGGTGGAGAGATCTCTTTCCTGTCCTGTCATGGGCAGAGGGGTTTGGTGAAATTAGTGCTGTAAATGATGTGGTCTGTGGATGAGAAAGGTGGTGGGAAGAGCAAAGTAAATGAACTACACTGTAATATTTAGCCACTGAAGTTTCCAAGTAGTCTGTGTAGACCAGCGCACAGAAGATTGTTTAAGAACAAATCAGACAAACACCTAGCAGGGATGGTCTAGGTATATTTCATCCTTCCTCAGCACATGGAGCTGGACTAGGTGACCTCAAGGTCCCTTCCAGCCCTACATTTCTACCATTCTGTGCTTCTATAATTTTATTAGCATGACCCATGAAGATAATAATATAAAGGCATCTTTTCTTTTCCAAGTCTGTTAAACTGGGAGGCTTAAAGTTTAAATAGTAAAAAAAAATATTTATAACTTATCATCCCTGTAGCAGGAACAGAAGAATTCAGCTTATGACGACTCTTGAACTTTATTTAAACTTTTCTGAGTATTAATTTCAGTCCAATTCGTCTTAGAACACAGATTTTTTAGGAGGTACTTGTGAGAATTCAGACAAGAAAAGGCAGCAGAGTGATTGAAATACTTGTAAAAGCCCTTTAATGAAAAACCATTTAACATACTTGGACTGCTGTTACGTGACAGTTTCCTGCATGGCTATATGAATTGCAATCAAGTGTTCTGCTGAATGGTCTTCCCACATTATATATTCCATAACATGGAGCTCCTGTGAAGGGCCACGTTCTGTCAGAACAAGTGCTGTCAAAACACAAACAAGGGAGAGAGTGGAAAGATTTGAAAATGTGCAGCCTCGTTATAACTCTTCAGGGAGAAAAAAGTATCATCTTACAGACAAAAATACAAGTCCCTCTGAAGTTTTAATGGCATACCTAAGAACACACAGAAAATTATATGGCAGAGCTGGAAACAGGAACCAAATGTCCTGACTTTCATGCCTGTGTTTTAGTAACAAGGCCATCCTTTCCTTTTCAATAGTTCAGATTTTGCTGACAATCATTGGACCCTTTGAGGTCAGACATTGCCTCATTCTACTTTAAAAGCACTAACACTGTCTGAGGTGTTTCCCTTCTACAACAGGCCAGCTCTAGCAAGGGGTCACTAGGAGAAGGAGAAAGTAGGAGGGAATTAAATACAACCTCAGCACACATGCAGAGAAAAGGACAAGTGTGAATGAGGAGTATTAAATCCCCAGTACTTTCACAAGGATATTCCAGCTTGACATCACTACCGAAGTTTTTCATTCAGCCTTGGTGTGTCTAAGCACTGCAGCAACTATAATAGATAGGGGGGTTAAGAACTGTAGGTAACATTAAGTGTTACAACTAGGAGGGACACAATGGGATAAATTATGGGAGCTCCGATGGTCTACTTCTGGCTTTTCATACAGCAGTTTAACTTTCCTTGAGACTGTTTCCTTGAATCTTGCCTCTGTAACAGGGTCTCCTGGGTAACTTCCTTCCTATTACCATGAGTATGAGCCTTTAGTAATCTCACATCATGATAGTGTATCTCGCAACAGGATCCTTTTGATACTCTTACATCACAGCACACACAAAGGGGGACTCTGATTGATTGATTTTTTTCAGATTGCCCAGAGACATTTCCCACAAAGGAGCCATTTGCTGAAAATCTTCCATTTAGGGTCTTCCAACTCTTTAGCAGACCAACAAGGTACTCAGACAACATAAAATTAGTTTTCTTTTGCTGCTTTGTAGCCAATCAAATACACCATTATGGAAAAAATATCCTGAGTCCATCACATAGCAGCTGGCCATGATTTGAAAGAGCAAGTATTGTGCCCCCAAAGATCTTCATGTGCCAGAGATCCTCCCTACAGAGATCTTCCCACTCCCATATAGCATTATATCACCTAACTTGGCCAATCCCTACCTCGATCACTTTGTATGCCTGCCTATCTGGCATTCAGTCTGTAAGCTTTCAGGACAAGCACCATGCTATCTTTCCAATTTGGGAAGCATCTATTGCGTTCTGGGGGCTGATGAACAATAATGTGCATTTAAATAGGGCCAGCGTATTGAACAGTCACCTTCCCTTACTTCTCATGGTTTATATTCTTTCCCACCAAATATACATGGCCAATTAGACTTTGCAATGCACTCATTTCCTCTAATATCATGCACATGACCTAGAATACACAGAAAAATGACAAATATTTCCCCCTTGGAGTGCAAAACTACAGCACATTAAAGCTATTTAACATGCATCCACAAGGCCTCAAACAGAGCTATGCAGAATGACACAGTTATTTTTTAACACCTCCGTACAGGAACATATACATTTCTGA